GATATCCCTAAATTCATCTCATTATGCAATAGGACAGGTATTCAGAGGGTCAAGCGAGGTTACAGAACATGATTTATTACTCATAAGTAAATACAGTTGAAGATAATAACCATCGCCTGGCATTTACACATGCCAGCCATGCCTTTAACAAATGAAATCTGCGCAGTTTTGTTTTTCAACTTAAAAGCTGAGATATTTTTTTTAGAAAAAATCTTGTTTAAATGTGTTACTGAGAACAAAAAAGTGCATTATTTAACACTAAAGCAGACTTTTATTGCAGAGAATGTGGAGTATATCTTAGATCTTTAGCTTAATAATACTGTGATTTGTGTAGCACTTCATTTTACGGTCCAGTTCCGCATGTATAGCTGTGGAATAAATCAAGAAACTTTATTTAATAATTCTTTATTTCTTTATCTAAAATATATATTTCTTTGGATTTATTAGGTATGGGTTTAGGTAAGATAGTAATTGCAATAAGGTTGCATATGTTTATGTTAGTTATTGCATTTATTAACATTAACAAACAATGTAACATTTATTAAAGTATTTGTACATGTTAGTTAAAGTTAATTCATAAAATGCCATTGTTCAAGGCACAGTGCATTAACTAACGTTAACAAGCATGAATTTGGATGCTATGAACTATGATTAATAAATGCTATACAAGTATTGTTCATAACTGGTTCACTTAAGTAAATACATCAACTAATATAACCTATAGTCATTTTTGTTTAAGTCTATTAATGCTCTTTTAAATTTCTATTAATTGTAATTTAGAGCTTTAATTGTTTAGTTTATCCTTTTTGTTTTTGAAAATGACAATTGTTATAGAATGGCAAGTGTTTTCATTGCTTTTGAGTGAAAATCAGGGTTATTCCATCAAATATTTATATTTTACTATTCTGATGTTGTCTAAAAGGGAATAGAAATCTCTGAAAGTGAGACAAATGGACATCAACTTATTTGTTAAATTGAGGGAAATGTCATAAGTAGTTTACAGAAGAAAAACATCAATTAGTAATATAACCTAATCATTTTTTTATTCTATAAATGTTTGATAACATTTCTTTTGAATTTCATTTTAAAATGTTGTAATTTAGAGCTTTTTTTAGTTCATCATTTTCTTTTTCCAAAAATTATTATAATTTTTTTTGGAATAACAAATTTTTTCATCAAATATTTATTATTTAATATTGGAATTTTGTCTAAAAATTAATAGAAATGTAGGAAAACATGACAAAGTGACATCAGTTTATTTGGGGGGAAATGTTATCAGTAGTTAAATAAAGCCACACACACACACACACACACACACACAAAAGGTTTTCCACCAAAGATCAGAGGCGGATTTAGTCATTTTGGGGCCCAAAAGTTCTAAAATGCACCTTTTGTATTTTTTATTATTTTACTTTTTTTTCATATGTCATTAAATCTCATTTTCTACTTTTTATATTAATGCAAAATAATAATAACACGTGAAGCATATTGTAAAACATTTGAAAAAATTTGTTTTCTTAAAATTAATTCACAACTAAACAAAATAAATGAAGTATGTAGTTTTTAAAACTAAACCTTTAATTATTTGACTGCTGGACTGATCCATGATTGAAGGTGCCCAGATAATTACATTTAAACTAATATTTTTAGACCCTAACCGTACAAAATATGGCATAAAACAATGTTATATTTAATTTATCGGTATCATTTATACAGTTTTGTTTATATTTCCCAAATGATGTTCTGGAGAAAGTCTTATTTGTTTTATTTAGAATAAAAGCAGTTTTTATTTTATAAGAAACATTGTAAGGTCAAAATTATTAGCCCCTTTAAGCTATGTTTTTTTTTCCATAGTCTACAGAATGAACCATCGTTATACAATAACTTGCCTTATTACCCTATACCTAGTTAACCCATTTAACCTAGTTAAGCCTTTTAAATGTCATTTGAAGCTGTCTAGAAGTGTCTTGAAAAATACTTAGTAAAATATTCTTTACTGTCATCATGGCAAAAATAAAATAAATGAGGTATTAGAGATGAGTTATTAAAATTATGTTTAGAAATGTGTTGAAAAAATCTTCTCTCCGTAAACAGAAATTGAGGAACAAAATGAACAGGGGGTTTAATAATTCTGACTTCAACTGTACATCTAGGTATTTATTTGGGGACCCTCAGATTTCCTGGGGCTCTACGCGTCCGCTTTTCTCGCTCATTCGTTAAATCCGTCCCTGCCCAAGACATCATAAATTCAGAGAATTTCTCTTGTGGTCTCTTTATTTTTCCCCAGAGCTGCATATTTGTTTACCTCTGATAATTACAATAGGTTCTAGCCTAAAAGCTGACCTTAAACCATGCAAACCCTTCTTTTTTTTAACTGCACGTAGTGTAAAATAAGCTCAACCATAATTTGCCTTAGATTTCATGTTCATTTAAGGTACTTTGTAATGAAGCCTTGATGTTTGTTTTTCTTCATTTCTTTTTTTCCCTCTCCAATTGAAAGTCTCACTCCTCCTTTTTTCACACTAAACCACAAAATCAGTGAAATTGCTTGCTTGATGTAAAACAGTAGATACTGTTAACAGTGGAAAAAGTTTTAATGATTGTATTTTAATTGCGTCGTTATTCGAAAATTGGTTTGTGCGGTGTGTTTTACAGGGGGAAACTTGTGAGTCTTACGCATTTCGTGGCAGGAGGCGTTATTTTGGACTGGAGAGCCAGGTTAATAAGAGAAGCATATGGCCGGAGAACATCTTGACTTTTATTACACCTTAGACACTATTAAAAAGACAGTTACCTTCGATGGTTAAAATATTAACTTGGCCATAGAGCGCGGTGGGATCTGTAATAAATGGACACACGTATTGGCCTATTTTTTATTCTGCAAAAATATTTTCTCAACACATTCATATTTATTATTAGCAATCTGTAACGATAATGAATCCTTTAATGGCCTCTTTTATACTTCTTGATGGACCAAAAATAACAAGAGAGTTTAATAGCTCATTATTATGAATTAGGAAATATCTTTGCTCAGATGTGGACTTCAATGGGCTACTAGGAGTATTTCTGGAGGTGAAATCATTTATTGTGTGAAACCTTTGTCATATAGTGGCTAATATGAGGACGTATCCATCACGCTGAAATCATTATTAGCGTGCTTGGAAAACTGCCTTGTTTTTGCAGTGGCCAATATGGGCTGTGTACAGCGCTGTAAATGGCATGAGTGTGGAAAATCTGGCTTATGGCCGTGTAACATACTTAATTTTATGGACCATGCAAACATTAGAATTGCAATATTTCCAACTTTGTAGTGAAATCTGTGATTTTTATTTCCTGAAATTGATGCTCCCATGATTTCTCACGCGTTTTACCTTTCATTGCATTGCAGAAAATGGCCTTTTGCATTTTAAGTGGTGTTTAAAATTATATTAACTGCACTGTAAAAATATCTATGATCAATTTGTCCTCACTTCATATGTTTTAGGCCATTGTAACTTACTGAAATAAATTAATCATGTTCTAACTTTTTTTTATATGTTACGCAAGCTGTTTTAGGTCAGTTTAACATAATATAAGTTCAATAGACTCAAGGTTAATTTGATTCAGCTTAAAAATTTAAGGCAACCAGGATTTATTTACAGTGTGGCTACTGCAATGATATTAAGAATGATTTAAAACGCCAAATATGCAGTTTACAAAAAAAACAAAAAACATTATTTAAAACTAACAAAATATAAAATAAAGTAATCAAAAATACTGCAAATGTCCTTGATGTGTTTACATCTTTAATCATAGAATTGTACATTTACCATGCGAATAGTTTTTAATCTAAACTTTTATATGTTGAGACAATTAATTTCCTCTACAAAAGGAAGAATCCTTTATTTTGTTGGTGTCAGCATCTAATAAAATTTGCAAAGTGATTTTATATACATTAAAAAAACACATATCATTTGAAGGTGTGTCTAATTAATATTTCAGATAACTGTGTGAAAGTCAAATGTGCAGGAAAAATGTTCCAGCATTACTCAGTGCTAAATGTAAAAAAAAAAAAACTCTAGATACGCTGATTTTTTCTTTAAAAACATTTTTCTAAACCTTTTATGTTTATGCTAAATGATTTTACTTCACAGACGAGAAAAATACAATATCCATCAACATAAAAGTGAATTTACTGAACCTACCCACAAGAGTCTAAGAAAAATGCTCACTTTGGAAAAAAAGTTTATGGCATTTAAAGGTTTTTACATCCGAACTCTTTATATATTTAAGTAGAAATTAAATATCATACTTATTCTAAGCAATACCTAATATAAGTAATCATACAAAATTGTATCCTGTTTTAAATAGTTAAGAAATATATATATATTGTTAAAAATATGTAATATGTAAAACCTAGTGAACTTAAGGATTGTGGCAAAGCATAAAGATTTTAAATGACAATTGATTGGTATTTTGGGGCAGCCATGTGATCGTTAAGCATGTTTTATCTAATATCTCATGAAATTATTCTTGTTCTATGCAAGGTTTTTAATATATCTTCAGATGATATTTCATTCGTGATGGATGTAAAAAAAATTTAATAAATAAATAAACAGTGCCTAAAAATAGCAAGCTGTATTTTATATTTACTTTGATTGTTCTGACACTTTAAACTCATTTCATCCAGACCCATAGTCTATCGGATAGTTATAGAATACGGTAAACTAAAATCACACAAAACAATCCCCTCGTTATACATGCAGTGTTTACACTCATATTCATGAGGGGCTCAAACACCCTTTTCCTTTCTTCCAAGAAAAAAAAATGAAATTCCTTGCGGAAAGTAGCGAGATATGTCTGAGTATCGCAGATCATATTTTCACCTTCGTCTTCTTTGGCTTGGAAACCTTAACCACTTTGTTATGCTAATGGTCCCTGACATCAGCGCGAGATCAAAGCGGCGCGCGGCCTCATATAGACTCGCGCTCGCGCTGCGCCTTCAGTCCTGCAGATTCCTGCGCGCGAGCAGCACCACAAACCCACCTCTCTTCATTTCTTTATCAGCGCTCCAGCATCATGCTTTCTCACTCGGACTTCACACAAACGGATTAACTCTCATTAAGAGCTTTGGCTAGAGCATTTCTGGCTGGATTTAAATGAAAATCACCTTTGGATTACTTTGTACAAGCGGATTTTTTTTTGGCGTCAGTCTCTGATAAAGGTGAGGAGTCCATTTATTGTGCGCAAAGTTGGTGCTTTCTATTTAAACGCTGTTTTATTTATTATTTTGTTTTGCAATTTAAAGCTACAAGAGACTACTGTAGTATGCAATATTATAGACCACCCAGAGGGGTTATAAGTGAGCTAATTACATTTTATGTTCACCTCGGATCGCTCCAAGGTAAAAATGCAGCAGATCAGAGATAAAACTGTACGAAATGTCTTCTGTACTAATTTTTACGAAATGCAGCAACAGTTTTATTGTGCTATATACAAACGGTAGCCTTCAATTTTTTAATCATGTTTATTCATGTTTTAGGATTTGTTTTATAATATACATGAGCTTGACAAATTTCTGGATTGCGTGTAGCTGGCCATGCGAATGGTATATAGATTATGCATAATGGATATAACAGCTAAACTATACTACGTTTTGTTCTAATTTCTTTAATTAGGACATTTAAACTCACAATATATATATATATATATATATATATATATATATATATATATATATATATATATATATATATATATATATATATATATTTATTTATTTATATATAAATTAGAAGTTTAATTGCTTCCTTAAAGTGGTGTTGAAGTCTGCACTTTGCAATTTGTTGTTCTTAAAGACAAAATAAAATCTATAAAACTGTAGAAGTGGTTAAAACAGCAATGATAGCAGCAAGTGGAAAACTAAATATATCACTTTGAGTACTATAATTTATGATGCAATTACTAGCTATGTAATTGTAATTGCACTTTTAATGTATAGTTTTCTAGGTTTAGGTCAATAGCCAGAAGGAAAAAAATAACTTCTGGAAAAAAAAGCTTGCCCCTGCAATCTGGACAATCACTGTCTGTATGTGAATGCATCATGCCTGAGGCCAGACAGCAGGTCCAGTGGGAGGTAGTGTCTGTTTATTGCCCTCCTATTCCAGCAGATGGAATAATCTGAGAAAATTTGATAACATTCCAAAAACCACCGCACCTATATTTCAGAAAGTTGCATAGAGCTTAAGAAAATCTTGCATTGCGATTTTCATAAACACTGAAAGTTGGAAAGCATTGTTAAAAAAAAAAGAAAGTGATTGAATCGTTGGTTGTTTGTAAGTTGATTTTAAAGGCTTCTTATAAATAAAAAAAAAAATTTTTTTTTTTACTTAATGGGACTGTAAAAGTATTGTAATAGAAAAATAAAACAACAATATGGCATTTAAATGGAAAATGTCTCCAAATACCAATTCTTACTATTAATTAGTGGCTTATAACCTGCTTATTACTAAGATATTGGCTGTTTATTAGTAATTATTAAGTTAATATTCTGCATGATCTTATTCGACATGTTTAAAACCCAACTACTACCTTAATAACTACTAATAAGCTGAAAATTATTAATTTATTGAGCTTAAAGTCATAATAAATGAATTTTAAATAGCAAAAATTGTAACTTAAAGTGACCAAATGTTTTAATTTTTTTATACATATATATTTTAAATATTCTTCATGTCATGTGTGCGCTGCATTCATCAGTATATCATGCACCTAGAGTCCACTGCATTTAATCTGAATCAGATTTTTTTTCTCCCCAAGCAGAAGAGGGACGGAAAGACGGAATAAGTGCCATGGCTTTTGGCTTTTAATTATAACTGTGTCAAGAAGCAGTGGGGTCAGCGAGCACCTGCATCAGTGTCTTCTGGATCTTATTGTACAGCATGAAGCGAACCTTCCCTTCCCTCCCGCTTTGTCTCCTCACATTCCTGCTCCTGTCTCAGCAGTGCACAGGAATCAGATGGCTGTGAGTTTGTTTGTTTTTTACTCTTCATATGCTGAAACTGAAATGGGTTTAGCGTGATGATTGATTCGTAAACCAATTTTGGAACCAATTGAAAGGGAATTTCTTTGCAGTGGCTTTTAATTTAGAAAAGTTTAAGCTTGGTAGAATTTGATCTTAAAATTAAATCAAAGGTAAACCCAGTTCAAAGCTAACTTGATTTCTTGAGAATGTATTCATGCAATCCTTTGGTGCGTCGTGATGGAAAATATGAGAATTTGGGACGTGAAGGGGCTGTTTTGCATGCACAAGATGCTGGTTGGGGTTTCCGCAGTCTTGATATTGCATGGCAAGAAATGCAAAACAGATGCCGCCATAAACACCTGTGTTCCCTGGATAACAAAGACTGTGTGTGTATGTGTGTGTGTGTGGAGGTTAAGACAGGGGTCTGTCAGTCACAGCATATCATGGAACATAAAGTCGCGGCCCCTAATCTGAAACAGGCAAAGGTAGAGCAGGCATTAGTTGGTTCTCACGAATAGTGATACACGTCTGTGTGTGTGTGTGTTAGTCGAAGAGGAGGGAAATTAATGCTTCACTTCAGATTTCACTCTGAAGTCATATTGAATTTATTGGGTTTTTTTTAAGGTTACAGAAGTTTCAGTTTAGGCCTATGTGATTAAAGTCTGAGATAAAAAAGTAATTTTAATATCCATGATTTGCGTGACATCTAGCATTGTTTGACTGCAGCTTGACCATGGTAGATTTGCTTAAGTTTTAACAATGACCAAATTATCTTACGGATAAACTTTTTTTTTTTCTATTGGCGATTGCTGTTTGGTGCCTTTCTTAAATCCAAGCGATGCAGAAATAATCTCCTTCCATTTTGGTCTAATCTTGATTGATTATCTCTGGGAATGGGTTGTTGTTTGCATGCCTTTGTGAGCGAGACACTGAACAATTTTAGCCCGCAGCTTAAATGCTTTCGCAAACTGTTGATCTTACTCTTAATATTTTAGAGCTGGCCACAAACAATGTTATCCACCTTTACTCCATCAAACTTTTTAATAACTTTCCAAGTGTCTGATTGGCAAAAGTTGAAATATTAAATCAGTGAATGTAAATATTCAAACATATGCCTTTTCTCATGCAGGGCGCTATCACAGACCGCACAACACATCAACAAGACCCAGCACTGCAAGACGTTGCCAGGCCTCGTCTCCTCTCAGGCTCAGCTCTGTAGGAGTAACCTGGAACTCATGCAAACCATCATCCAAGCAGCACGGGAGGTTAAAAAGGTCTGCCAAAAGACCTTCACAGACATGCGCTGGAACTGTTCCTCTATTGATGGACCGAAATTCCTCCCAGACCTGGAACGAGGTGAGTTACTGAGAAAAACCGTGTCTAAACGCATTTATTTCCAATCGAAGTCTGTTTTCCAATTGAAGTCTCTCCGCAGATGTTCTGTTTAGAGCCTAAATCGTGAAAGAGCCGGTGTCCGTTCGTTGCCAGCTAGCTTAAGTGACCACACACCTCACTTTATACCCGAGTGTGGTTTCCATTCCAGCCTTAATAGGTCTAAGGAACCCATCTAATTGTTGGAGGAAAACTTTATGAGTGCAAAGCTTTAAGGTGATCTCCAAACACTCTCGCTCCGGGTAACGCAGACTATGCCAGTTAAAATGCTGCAATTTGGCCTCGCTGCATGATAAAAGAAAGCCCTGCTCACCCGACCCGCAGGATTCTTGCACGCCGCTCTTCTTTCTCAGGCTCCGTTTGATGGGATCCTTCACAGAGGAGCTGCGTTTACTGTGAGGACGAACAATAGGATCCATTCTATTCACTGAGAGATGCTATTGAGCCAGTTAGTCAGTAATGGACAGAGAATTGACGGGCTTTTAAAGCCTACAGTTTTACCCTGCATCCGACCTTTGCGGCACAGATGCAATTCTTAGCTTGCAACCAGTTCTGGAACTATGAAATCACTTAAAGGAACAATATGTAAGATTTTTAAAGAATTTAAATATTGATTAACCACTGTGTTATTCAGTTGACGTTAAAATTAATAGCCCTCCTGAAATATTAGCCCCCAGTGTAATTTTATGCCAATTTGTGTTTCAACACAAATCTAAACATAATAGTTTTAATAACTCTTATCTAACAACTGATTTATTTTATCTTTGCCATGATGACATACATAATATTTTGCTAGATATTTTTCAAGACACAAGTATTGAGCTTAAAGTGTAATTTAAAGGCTTAACTAGGTTAATAAGATTAATTGAGTAAAACAATTCCCAGGAGGGCCGGTCATTTTGACTTCTAACTGTATATTCCTTGCTTATTTACTTACATCATCCCAAATGATTCAGTGTTTTTAAATCTAGAGAAATAAGCAATTTTATCTTGTGTCACATACATTGTCCAGTAAAGCCATGTTAATAACCTTTAATTTCTGGTTTGATTTTGCAAACAGGGAAACTCCAAAGATGCTTCACAGAGCAGCATTATAACAGAACAGAACCTTAAAATGTAATTAACCTTAAAATGTGTACTTAAAATGCACTTGAAGTTTTCCTTTAATGGCTTTATGACCTACTCTGGTTCATAATGGCATGATAATAAGTGTTAAATATCTTAGCTCATCCATTAACATGATTTCTGAGTCCTCTAGGATGTAAAAACGTCACACTTTATTTTGATGGTCCGTTTGTTGCATTTAAGTTACATTGCATCTACATGCCAACTAATTCTCATTACATTAGAAGTAGACTGTTAGGTTGGGGTTAGGGTTAGTGTAAGTTGACTTACTTGCTTGACTTAAGTTTCTTAGTCAGTTAAGTGTCTGTTGTAGCAGCAGTATCAACAGATATTAAGCAGACAGTCTACTAATACTCAAATGAACCATCAAATTAAAGTGTTACCTGTAAAATATGCTGGGTTTCACAGTCCTACACATTGTCCCAAGACAAATTGATTGAGTTAACTTTGAACATGAAACAATTAAGCTGTCCCAAAGAAAAACGTAAGAGTTGAGTTGCTTCAACTAATTTTAAATTAGTATGATGTAAAGAAGATAATAAATCCCATGATTACCCACACAGTCTCATCATCATTAAAATACACCTTTGTTTATTGCAATTATGCACCCTCTAATGGTGAAAATATAGGCTGTATCTTTAAATTAAATAGTTTTTTTTGTCTTGCCCTTTCATCTTGAATTTGACGATAACCAGTTTCAAGGTTTACCACGGTTAGAACATTTTTGAGCTATATTAAAACCTTGACTTTTTCAAATTTACCATTCCTAAGGTATGTAAAAGGTTTGTTGGGGGGGGGGGGGGGGGGGGGGGGGGTTTGTCGTGTTTTTACAACTTTATTTAATTTCTCTCTAAAAGCAACAGTATCTGCATTTGAAAAGGACCCTACACATTAAAATGTACTGGTCAGCCCATGATTCAGGAAAAAAAGGAAGATATCCAAAGATGCCTTTTCAGGTTGTAAAGAAATCTGTGTTTTTAAAACTAATTAAGACCTCAGAAGTCAAATTAACTAAATTGTGGGGAAAAAAAGTTGGTGTTTCTTACCCAAACATTAAAAAATATATATTTTAGAGTAGTATTCAATCACAATACCGTTAAATCCTTGATATTTTTATCCAAGGTTTTCATAGAATCTTATACCGATACATGCGGCAGTGATACGTTCTGATGGCTGGTTTAATCGTCCTCCTTAATTATTTATTGAAAGGTATAAGTGTTTCCAAACACAGAGGATGGTCAAACTAAATCTTCTAGAGACGTCCTTCACTGCAGAGCGTCTGCATTTGTCAAGAGTTAAAACACTCCTGCGTCTCATAAGTACAGCGCTAAGGAGACGCTCTTTGATGTCGCTCGTACGGGGTCAAGTTGAGCCTCTCCTGTTTCTGCACCTATTATCTTGTCATGACATATGCGCACTGAGAGAACTGTTCAGTAATCTCCGCCATTATCCTTTCGCACTGAATACTGCTGTTTCTTATATTGCTTTGCATTTCTGACAGGAAAATGTCAGTTTAAGTGTTAAAACATTCTGTCATCATGTTCTTGCATTCACGTTCTTGCAAACCTATAAAAATTTCATTCATTTTTTAAGCACAGATTAACATACTGATTTCTTTTTGCCATTGAAAGTTTATCTACCCCAGTGGTGTCCAAACCTTTTCTTATGAAGGGCCAAAAATCAAATTTGATTGAGGCTAGTGGGGCGAAGGTAAATATATCATAGTTGTCATGGGCAATTTCCAAATTTCTTTAATAATATTTAAAAATGACTAGAAAATATTGCTTTATATGAACTTATACAGTATTTTTTAAACATTTTATAACAAACTCATTACAGTAAAAAACAAAACAATCTCATTTATAACAGAATCACACTAGTTTTTGGCCTCTATCCATCAAGTGCCAGTATCTACATTTAAAAAAAAATCAGATTCTTTTACAACAATTAATTTCAGTTTGCTCCTTTGTAGCTCAGCAATAAACCAACCAAAAAAACAATTATGTCAAATTAAAAATGACGATATCTGTGTGATATCCCTCTCCATCATTTTCACTCTCCTATTAGATAGGATGGAGGGCCAAATCAAAGGGCCAACTTTGGCCCACGGGCCCTACTTTAGGCATCTCAGATCTACGCTAAACTCTGACGCTTTAAAATGTTTATAAAGAGATAAAAGTAAATGCATATAAACCACTGTTTTTCTCGGGAGCAAGAAAAAGATGACTTCTTTTCACCCAAATTGGACTCTTCAAAACATTAATGAAAAGGATAAAAAGTAAATCCATGTTATTATAAGCAGCTTATTATTATCCATACCCATAAGACTTAAGTTATCTTCATAACACAAATGAAGATATTTTTAATCCAATCTGTGAGATTTCTGTAACTCATTTGAGAACTGTCCCTCCTTCAAAACATTCATGAAAAGAATAAAAAATAAATCCATATGAATCTAATGGATTTGTTCTAAACCCACAAGACTTTTCTTCTTCTTTGGGTAAAAAAAGTCTGTTTACCCAAAACTCTCTTCATAACTTTAATGAAAAAAATCCATATGAATACATCTCCAGAAAACAAATAAAGATAGAGACCTCTGTGCCTTCATTGAAACATGCTCACTCATAACCCTGATGCTTTGAAACGTTTATAAAAGAGCTAATAAATAAATCCATGTAAATCAAGTGGTTAGCAAAACCATACTATACAGATAACATACAGATAACATAGATGAAGAAAAGAGATTGAAAAGCCATGGCAATATTTCAGACTGCAAGGCAGATGACGATATTTGTAACCCAATCTGAGGGATTTCCCTTCCTCCATTGACACTGTTCACCCAAATCTTGACATTAATAAAGAGATCAAAAATAAATCCAGATGAGTCAGCGGTTTAAACCAAGTCTTCTGAAGATACACAATCTCTTGAGATGCTTTAGATGATGAGTGGATTTAATTTAGGTCTTTATTCACAAAAAATAATGGTGAACTAAATCTTTAAAGGGTTAGTTTACCCAGAAATTTTAATGTACATGTGCTCTCCCTCATGCTGTTTAGGGGTGCCAAACTCTGTCCTGGAGGGCCGTTGTCCTGCATATTTTAATTCCAACTCCAATTAACCAGTTAATCAAGCTTTTTGTAGGTATAAAAATAATCTTCTAGTCAAGTGTTAAAGTAAGTTAGAGCTAAATTATGCAGGAAAGAGTTTGGACACCCCAGTTTTAAAGCTTTGAGTTTCTTTTTCTCTTGCACACAAAGATATTTTGAAGAAAGTTGGTTGATGATACCTACTGGCTTCCATATAGGGAAAAAAAGCCTCAGTCAACTGGTGCCAGCTATCAGCATTCTTCAAAATCTTTAACATTCAGCGGAAGAAAGATCTCAGTTTTTGAACAAGTAAATCATAGAGATTTCAGTTTTGGGTGAACTATTCATTATACTCTTTTTATTTGTTTATATAAGCAACTAATTATGCTTTTCCCCCTGCTATCTCTCAGGAACAAGGGAGTCTGCATTTGTGTATGCGCTCTCCGCAGCTGCTATAAGTCACACTATAGCACGCGCCTGCACCTCTGGAGACCTGAGGCTGTGCTCGTGTGGGCCGATCCCAGGTGAAATCCCCGAGCCGGGCTACAGGTGGGGCGGCTGTGCTGATAACATACATTATGGTCTCCTCATGGGCTCCAAGTTTTCTGATGCCCCAATGAAGATGAAGAAGAAGTCTGGCTCTCACGCCAACAAGCTCATGCATCTTCACAACAGCGAAGTGGGCAGACAGGTAAGCAGTACCTCACAGATTCACTTCAAAAAAGCTAAAGTTAATGATTCAATGTCCTGGTAAATTTCAAGTGAAGTGCTCTTCTTTTGAGGGCAAAGAAAAGGTTGTAAAGGCTGAGTGACTGTACATCATTTTCGAACACTCCAGCACTCATTTACACAGAATGCATTATTCCATTCTATTGTGCTACTTTTTACCATTGTTTTTCAATGTAAACATGCACTTGATGGACGGCCATGCACAGCAAGCTGTTTTGACATTAAATCTAAAACCCGTACTAGTATCTATTTTCGTGTTACTAGTGCTTATTGTTTAGATAGTGTATTTTCCATTAAGTACTAGTGCTTATTTATCATATACTAGTGCTTATTCATTAGATATTAGTGCTTATTCCTCAGATATTAGTGCTTATTCATCATATACTAGTGCTTATTCATTAGATATTAGTGCTTATTCATTAGATATTAGTGCTTATTCCTCAGATATTAGTGCTTATTTATCAGATATTAGTGCCTATTCAACAGATATTAGTGCTTATTCCTCAGATATTAGGTCTTATTCATCAGATATTAGTGCTTATTCCTCAGATGCTAGTGCTTATTCCTCAGATATTAGTGCTTATTCATCAGATATTAGTGCTTATTCATCAGATATTAGTGCTTATTCATTAGATATTAGTGCTTATTCATCAGATGCTAGTGTTTATTCATCAGATATTAGTGCTTATTCATTAGATATTAGTGCTTATTCATCAGATATTAGTGCTTATTCCTCAGATATTAGTGCTTATTCATCAGATGCTAGTGCTTATTCATCAGATATTAGTGCTTATTCATCAGATATTAGTGCTTATTTATTAGATATTAGTGCTTATTCCTCAGATGCTAGTGCTTATTCCTCAGATATTAGTGCTTATTCATCAGATGCTAGTGCTTATTCATCAGATGTTAGTGCTTATTCCTCAGATATTAGTGCTTATTCATCACATACTAGTGCTTATTCATTAGATATTAGTGCTTATTCCTCAGATATTAGTGCTTATTCATCAGATGCTTGTGTTTATTCATCAGATGTTAGTGCTTATTCATTAGATATTAGTGCTTATTCATCAGATGCTAGTGCCTATTCATCAGATATTAGTGCTTATTCATCAGATATTAGTGCTTATTCATCAGATACTAGTGCTTATTCATTAGACATTAGTGCTTATTCCTCAGATATTAGTGCTTATTCATCACATACTAGTGCTTATTCATCATATATTAGTGCTTATTCATCAGATATTAGTGCTTATTCATTAGATATTAGTGCCTATTCATCAGATATTAGTGCTTATTCATCAGATACTATTGCTTATTCCTCAGATATTAGTGCTTATTCCTCAGATATTAGTGCTTATTCATCAGATATTAGTGCTTATTCATTAGATATTAGTGCTTATTCATCAGATATTAGTGCTTATTCATCAGATACTATTGCTTATTCCTCAGATATTAGTGCTTATTCCTCAGATATTAGTGCTTATTCATTATATATTAGTGCTTATTCCTCAGATATTAGTGCTTATTCCACAGATATTAGTGCTTATTCATTATATATTAGTGCTTATTCCTCAGATATTAGTGCTTATTCATCAGATATTAGTGCTTATTCATTAGATATTAGTGCTTATTCCTCAGATATTAGTGCTTATTCATCAGATATTAGTGCTTATTCATCAGATATTAGTGCTTATTCATTATATATTAGTGCTTATTCCTCAGATATTAGTGCTTATTCATCAGATATTAGTGCTTATTCATTAGATATTAGTGCTTATTCCTCAGATATTAGTGCTTATTCATTAGATATTAGTGCTTATTCATCCGATATTAGTGCTTATTCCTCAGATATTAGTGCTTATTCATCAGATATTAGCGCTTATTCATCAGCTACTAGTGCTTATTCCTTAGATACTAGTGCCTATTCTGTAGATACTAGTGCTTATTAAAAATACACTAGTGCTTACTCATTAGACACTGGTTCTTTTCATTAAATACTGGTACTCATTCGTTAGATACTAGCACCAATTAAATGAATGCTAGTACTTATGTCTTAGATACTAGTATCTATTATATAGGTACTAGTACTTATTAAATAGATACTAGTTCTTGTTTATTAGATACTAGTACTTATTTTAATAATGGCTTGTAACTATTTTGTTGTTACTAGTAACAAATACATTTTTTCCATTGTTTTCTGTGGGATCTGTCATTCAGAGATTAACTATTCAGTTTTGACAAGTATGTATTCCAGCTGGGACTAATACATATTTTTATGTACTAGTAGTTAATCATTAATTACCTAATTAAGTTAATCATTAAAACTAATTAATAGATACTAGTATTTAAGTATTAGATCACACTTATTCATGAGATAGTATCTATTTATTAGATACTTGTTCTTATTATTTAGATACTGTTTATTTGACTATGGCGATGTTTGATAAATCAACAACTAAGCAGGAAGGAGGTTGGGTCTTTTGTTTGGTGAGAGACCCCCTCTGAGTTTTTAAAATTTCCCCCGTAGGTGATCTTACAGGTGTGGATACATCTGTACCAACTCTGCTACTGGTCTCTTCATTGTATTCATGTTTTTTTAACTTTGTGTTGCTGTTTTGAATTTTGTTCTTCTGTCCACCATGAATATGAGATATGAATCAATCGCATGTAAAGACAAACATAAGGAGTTCCAGAACACACCCACCGATTGCATAATAGTCATGCATCAATGGTAGCTCAAAGATGTTAAGAAGACAAAATGACCTCCCCCAAAAGGTTGCTTTTGTAATCTGTTTTGAGCTGCTGAAACAAACTCAAAAATAACTTGAATTCGGCTGGATTTTTTCAAACGACGTCATTTAAGTTAATTTGGTTTTGTTTAAAGTATACCGGGGGCCTTTAAAGTGACAGTTCACCTAGTCATTAAAGATCTGTTATAATTTACTCAGCCTAAACTTAATATTTTAAAGAATGTTGGAACCATTGACTTTCCAAATAAATATATTATTTCTGTTTAACGGAGAGAAGATTTTTTCAACACATTTCTATTTTAATTATTTTTGAGGGGTTTTCACCTTTATTTTGACAGAACAGTGAAGATTTACAGATAGCAAAGTAAGGGGAGCAGAGATAGGGGAAGGATCGGAAAAGGACCTCGAGTCAGGAATCGCACTTGAGTCACCGTGAGCACCTTGATGCTATGTGTCGAGGCAGTAACCACTATGCTATTGGCACCAACTCAACACATTTTTAACGGAATAGTTTTAATAACTCATTTCTAACAACTGATTTATTTGATCTTTGTGATTATGACATTAAATAAAATTTTACTACATATTTTTCAAGACACTTCTACACAGCTTAAAGTTACATTTAAATGCCTAACTAGGTTAATTAGGCAGGTTAGGGTAATTAGGCAAGTTATTGTATAACAATACAATATGTTCTATAAAAAAATATAGCTTGAAGGGGCTAATAATTTAGACCTTAAAATAGTTTAAACTAATTTTTTAAAAACTTTTTTTATTTTAGTCGATATAAGATACAAGATAAGACTTTTCTCCAGAAGTAAAAATATTATCAGACACTCTTTGAAAATGTCCTTGCTCTGTTAAACATCATTTGGAAAAAATTTGAAGAAAAAAAAAAATTTAATTCAAAGCGGGGTTAATAATTCTGACTTCAACTGTATGTATATATCCGACTATGTATGTCAATGGTTGCCGGCTTCGAGCATTCTTCAAAATATCTTCTTTTGTGTTCAGCAGAAACACAAAACTCATAAATGTTTGGACTTGAGGGGCGAGTAAGTAGTGAGTAAATTTTGATTTTAGGGTGAACTGTGCTTTGAGTATGACAGGACAGTCACGAATGAAGTCTGATGTCAATTAAAAACAATCGGAACCACATTTGCGATTAAAATGATTGAATTTCAAAGTCTTTTTTTTATTTGGGACACATGAAGTCATGCAAAAGCCATCCAAAGTCACTAATATGTTACATTCCCTGTGTCATAATGTAATTTTTTTTATTGGATTTATCTTAATCGATCGTGCATTTTTCCATCTCCACAGGCTTTGCGAGATGCTTTGGTCATGAAGTGCAAATGCCACGGTGTTTCTGGTTCCTGCTCCATACGGACCTGCTGGAGGGGCTTACTGGACCTAAAGGACATCGCCATAGATCTAAAGACCAAATACTTGTCCGCAACTAAAGTGGTCCATCGGCCAATGGGAACACGCAAGCAGCTCGTCCCGAAAGACATCGACATCCGGCCCGTGAGAGAGAATGAGCTGGTGTATCTGCAGAGCTCACCAGATTACTGCATGAAGAACGACAAGTTGGGCTCTTTCGGGACTCAGGACAGGTAAATCATAAATTATATACCTCTGTTTTTTCTCATTTTAAATTTGTTTTCATTTTTCTTCATTGAGCCCAGTGTGATCAGATTTATTTATTCATTTGCACCATGAGAGTCCAACAATTCTCCCCACATTCTTATATGAAAAAAAAAAATTTATTATACCCATATAAATATATATACCCATCCCAAATAATATATATATATATATATATATATATATATATATATATATATATATATATATATATATATATATATATATACCCATCCCAATTTACTTATTTTTCAAACTATATTTTTTATTAATATTAGCTATTTATAATATAATTAGTTATTAATATTAGTTTTTTTGTTAGTTTTATTATTATTTTTATTATTTATTATTATTAAAAAATAGTAATCATATATATTAGCAAAAAATCTGCAAAATAAATAAATAAATCAAAATAATAATACAAACATATTGCACATTGTTATTATTATTACCATTATTATTTTAAGAGTAATAATATTATTTATTAAAATAAAATAAAAAATTTATAATTATTATTTGTGTGCCATTAGGATTTTCAAATGATGTTTGGATAGAATTGTGTAGAACCCAGTCATTTGCAGTAAAATGTTTTTCACACTATATGAAGTCCAGAAAATAATGACATAGGCAGGGATTTATTTTTGGATGGACATTAAAAGGACATTATTACACATATTGAGTTTTAACAAAGCAAATTCCTTTTACTTCCTCCTCTGGTGGCACAGTTTTGTTTTGAGAAGCCCTGATAAAGTGTGTGTGTGTTTAATGCTGCTATTCTCAGCTGATTGCAGCTCCACACACACACACACAGATTAACAGCATTGTGGACTCTTCCTGCTCATTTCCTATTGCTTTATCACTGCACACACAGGTGGAGCTTTAGGTAAAACTCAAATAAGCTCAGCTTCCTTGTTTGCATTAGTTGTGCCCTTAAATGTACTCTGTTGAATTGATTTTGGCTCCGACACGTGGAACTTACTTCATGTGACATTAACAACAACTGCAAATAATGACAGAGACAGCAATAAAAGGCACTCATAGTAGTAGTAGTATAAAATAGTAGTAGTAATAGTAGTAGTAATGATAATAAAAACAACAATTACAAGTCTTCCATGGAGTAAAACCCTTATTATTTGTAGTAGTATTGTGTCTGTTTTAATTTATGAAAAACTTTTGGTATCACTTTTTTTTGCTGATTTGGAATAATATTCATATTTATTTATAAAAATAATCACTTTATTATTATTATTATTATTATTATTTATATTTATTTATTTAGCTTCTTTTTTATTTATTTAGTTTTGTTTTATTTTAATTTATACTATGTATTGTTTTTTATTAGTTTATATTATATATTTTTGTTTTGCTTTGTTTTTTGTTAGCTTTTGTTTTATATTAATTTAGTTTACATTTAATATTTCTGTTTTGCTTTATTTTTGTTAGGTTTTGTTTTATATTACTTTATATTATATTTAGTTTAGCTTTGTTTAGTTTTTTTATTAGTTTATAATATATTTTGTTTTCATGTTGTCTTGGTTTATTTTTAATTTAGTTTAATTTTGTTTTATATTAATTTATATTAAGTTTTGTGTTTTATTAGTTTATATAATATATTTTTGTTTTGCTTTGTTTCTTTGGTCAGATTTCGTTTTATTTTTTATATTATATTATGATATTATAAATATATTAATATATTTAAAATCATTTTACTACAATTTACTTACTAGTATTTTACTCCATGTATTTTTTAATTAACCCAAAACATGATCAAAACAGTGATATTATTTAATGCCAAACATATAAAAACACAAGCAAATAGACTGGCTTTAAAGGGACTTCTCTGACACTTATAACAAAAATGTATAAGTTATTATAACATTTACAACTTGAACAAAAAATGTCTTTAAATTTTGTATTATTCAGTTGTGACTAAGTTATTTGAGCATTATGTATGTTTAGGTTGTGTTGTAGGTCAGTCAGTGCACAGATAACTTGCAGACATGTGATACATCAAGTGCACTCAACACACAGAAAGCATCTTCAGCATTAGTGCAGATAAGAGCATCACACGTGTTCAGCGCTCATATATTTAGTGCTTACACTCGCACACAAGACAGAGGATGCGTGAGGTCTGTGGAGCTTATATATAATAGAAGTACAATAAGTATTATGCAAATATATTTACTGTAATACGTTGTTTTTGCAAATATTTTATATTATAATTATATATTAAAGGAGTTTCTATATTACCGCATACTGCTTAGGAATCTAATGATAAAATGATTATAAAATAATTATCTAACATTAAAACTATCAGGGGCTGATGTCTTTACGAATTAATCGTAGTTGTAGTTTCGATAGTCTACATTTTATTTGTTTTACACTTTAATTATTTTACTGTAATTTTAAAAATCATGAATATATTCTTTTAATATTGAGGAATTACTTTTTATAAGAGAACAGATCATTTTATAACAGATTATATTTTATTTTATTGACTTAAACACCTTGGTATTAATGAATTTCTTTAGAGCAAATATTAAAAACATATGATTTTTAATAAAATATTATTTAACTGCTTTCCATGTTCCTCTGCTGTTCTGTGGGCCTCAAGGCTGCTGTTAATGAAGTTGTCCATTAGGAGTTCAGACAGAACCACATCCCAGAGGCTCAGAGATGATCGCTATCACTAAAGCCACTAAATTTGTTCAAGAGACGAGCTTTAAATGTGTTTTCACTCACAGCTGTTTAACTGTACCACTCATGCCAAAACCAGATCACTTCGGAGAACTCTGGGGGTTTGAGCTCATTTGGACTCAATTTACACCCTTTTCTTTAACGGTTTGATGCTCTTCATTAATTGTAGACTTCACAACTCCACACAGGAGCAGTTCACTATATGATTATATGAAGGGGCTAAACTTTTAATTAAAAAAAATAAAGAAAACATGAAAGTCATGAAATTAAAATCTAATTTTTTAAACATAAAAATAAAATCATGAATTCAAAGGGACCTAAAATAAAGCTAAACAAAAGAATTATACAAAATACATATAAATTGTTTGAATTTAATAATGTCATTTAAATATGTAATCTTTTTTTCATTATTGAAAGTATTATTCAATTAGAATAATAATAAAAGTCCAGAAAATGTAATTGGTTAAAAGAATACTTCAAGAAACCCCAAAAATAGTAAAAAGAGGTAAAAAAAAGAAAAGAAAAACAACAACAACTAAGCAATCAAAGAAATAATAAATAATTTAAAAATAAAGGAAAATTCAAGAAATCCAAAAATTCTAAAACAGGAGGTAAAAATCGAAACAATAACAAAAAAAATATTTGTAAGAAAAAAAATGAAAACTGTTAAATGAAAAAAACTGAATTTGTAATGAAAAAGGAAATATATTTAAAGTTGAAGTCAGAACTATATATAAAAAATATATTTATATAATCATAAAAACAGTCCAAATTTATTTAATTAAATATTTTATTTATTGTAAAATTAATGTATTGTTATTATTATTACTATTATATAAAAAAAATTATTGTGATGAATGACGGAATGAATGAATATATGCATACATAAATCATGCAAATCAAAAATGAAAAATGTCTTTTATATGCTACTCAGCACATTTCCCTAAAGCCTCTCGGTCATTCAGCATTAACCGGAGAGATTGAAAGAAGAGCACATTTCTCCGTCTGTGTGTCTTCTCTCAATAACAGCACACAATTATAAAACAGTGCACTTACAGCTTATTTATGAGGGGCTGTTCAGCGCTCCTCATCCCTCAGGCTTCAGTACAGTCACTCCTGATAGCCCCCTATGAAGGACAGCATAACAATATTCAGGAGTCTCAGTGCTGCTGGTTTAATATGTGGTGAACGTAAATGTTTTCCCTGATTTCAAAAGGAACTTGTGTTTGTAAATAGAAATTTGTACACTCACTGGCCACTTTATTAGGTACACCTTATAGGTACCTGGTTGGACGCACAGTAGCCTTCAGAACTGCTTTAATCCTTCGTGGCGTAGATTCAACAAGGTATTGGAAATACTCCTCAGAGATTTTGGTGAATATTGACATGATAGCATCACAAAGTTGCTGCAGATTTGTCGGCTGCACATCCATGATGCGAATCTCCCGTTCCACCACATCCCAAAGGTGCTCTATTGGATTGAGGTCTGGTGATTGTGGAGGACATTGAGTACAGTGAACTCATTGTCATGTTCAAGAAACCGGTCTGAGATGATTCACACTTTATGACATTGCACGTTATCCTGCTGGAAGTAGCCATCGGAAGATGGGTACACTGTGGTCATAAAGGAATGGACATGGTCAGCAACAATACTCAGATAGGCTGTGCTGTTGACACGATACTCAATTGGTACTAATGGGCTCAAAGTGTGCCAAGAAAATATTCCCCACACTATTACACCATCACAACCAGCCTGAACTGTCAATACAAGGCAGGATGGATTCATGCTTTCATGTTGTTGACGGCAAAACTCTGACCCTACAAATGTCACAACAGAAACAGTGAGTTGTCAGAATTGTAGCCTCAGTTTTCCTGTTCTTAGCTGACAGGAGTGGCACCTGGTGTGATCTGCTGCTGTAGCCCATCCGCCTCATAGTTGGATGTGTTGTGCATTCAGAGATGCTCTTCTGCCTACCTCGATTGTAATAAGTGCTTTTTTGAGTTACTGTTGCCTTTTTATCACCTCAAACTAGTCTGGCCATTCTCCTGTGACATCAACAAGGCATTTGGACAGGTGTACCTAATAAAGTGGTCAGCGAGTGTATATTTGCATATATGACACACAACCATATATATATTTACAAATAAATATATATGTAAATTCAGTTTAGTTTAGGTATAGTTTCCAAGGAACTAAAAAATAGAGAGATATAACTAAAAATGGCAAAAAATACACTCTTCCCCTTTAAAAAGTTAAAAAAGTTACAAAAAATAAATTAAATTGCGCAATAAAAAAGACAATTATTTTTAATTGCCCTTCAAAAACCCCTAAACAAATGCATCTCATGATTTGTTTTCATATATCAAATTTGACTAATCTCCCCTACAGCCAATTAACCAAACACTCTGTTTTGAAACTATACTTAATCTGCACAACATTTCATAGTGCTAACTGTGTTACAGCATGCTCTATAAATCAGTGTGTTTACATTTTGTCTGCAGGCAGTGCAATAAGACATCCAGCGGCAGCGACAGCTGTGATCTGATGTGTTGCGGCCGAGGCTACAACCCTTACACGGAGCGAGTGGTGGAGCGATGCCACTGCAAATACCACTGGTGCTGCTACGTCACCTGCAAGAAGTGCGATAAGACTGTGGAGAAATACGTCTGCAAATGAGCTACTGGACATATCAAGACATTTCCTTTCTGTTATATTCAGCCTGGGTGTGGAGCGTAAATTACTCGGACACAGATTTACCAAAGCATGGCTTACTTCTGTCTTATGCGTATCTGCTTTCGAGAAGAGGTTTATTTTTGGGCTTTATGAAGCTGGACGTTATTTTTGTACTTTTGTTTTTTTTTTCTACTGCACAACAATTGAACATCCAATTTACCGTCCTCAAGAGGGTTTCTATTTTTATGCCTCGTTTTTAAAGAAATATAAAATCATATGCGCCTTAATTCAGATCTTACGATTCTATTTTCTTACACAATACACAGAAAGGTACATTTGATCTGTTTTGATGCTTGACGTTCATTTTTAGAAGCCAAATGTTTGATGTTCTGGAGGATTCCACATTCCAAGTTCTAAGGGATTCAAAACTCAAGATGGTACTTTACGCTCACTGACAAAGGGAACTTGAAACTTGCGGCTCTTGGATGAGGAATTTGGTTCTTGAGGGAGAAACCTGTATTTATTCCACATATATGAGCAAGGACATTGGACTGTACGTGTAGTGCCTTGTTATATTTTTATCCAGCATAAAAAGAAACGGCAAAACCTCTCTGAGCATGTGAGCAGAGTACGTGGCTCACGCTTTGCGGCCTTCGTGAACCACTTTTCTGTGGATGTACATACTGTCTTTTTTTGTAAGCTGAATTAAAAGAAGAAATATTTATAAACTAATTAAAAAATCTTTACCATTTAAACCTGTGAGACTTTTTTTTCCGTTTATTTAATATCCCGTTTCCACTGAGTGGTACAGTATGGGTCATCTTTATCAGACTTGTGTTTCCACTGCCAAAAGGGTACCAACGGTTTCAGTCAACATCATTCTTGCTCGAGGAAATTTTAAAGTAAAGCTGTACGAGTCGTTCACTTAAACACTTCTCAAAAAACAGATGCTTTATACACATAAATACTTGTGTATAAATGTTTATTACCAACCTTTCTATAAACATGATTTGATTATAACTGCAGATCAATGACTGCGAAATAGCCTACTGTAACGTCTGCAGTTATTTAAAGTAAATAAATGAATGCAACATATATGAACATTCAGACCCTTACGGTCTCTGATATGTTCCCAATTACAGAAAAACTACACACAACATACATTTAGTCCTCATTTGTGCTGAAAAACAACATTAAATATAGCCTACAGTCAGTGCAAACCTCTCTATTGTGTCTTTAATTTTTACCAGCACATGTCACTTCTGTTAAAAAGTAAGTCCGTCATTCTGAGTTCATAACAGTCCAAAAGGTGATGATAATAGTTAAACATGGCAGCTTGTTTATATTTTAGATTGCTGAAAGAATCACTGGCTCTGTTTTTTTCGCACTTTATTCTTGTGTTTATCTATTTCTGAAAGAATCGGATGTCAGAAGCACTTCAATAATCACGTGCACGATATTGTCATCAGCTCAAGTTCAATATTTCAAATATAATCTTGTGGTGAGTGCATGCGAGCTCTCTGGAGAAGGTGAAACCGCTCGCGCTTTTAGACGGCTTCGTAAAACAAAAACAGGACCTAGCAGATTTTGTGGCTGTTCATAAAGACGACGACAAGGTTTGTTTGAGATTGGGTCGTCCATGGTTTGTTCTTATATGTATATATTATTATGGTGTAATGTCTCGGCTGTGTTTTTAAGAACGCCAAATTCTTTGTTTTTATTCTCCTGGCTTGTACACGAGCAAGTGACATATCTCTGTAAACCAAAATAGTTCAGCTGCGAGTGTAGCTTCAACTTTTGATAACCTTTTGTCGTGTTAGGTACCTTTTCGAAAAATGGTATGGTACGGTTCGCTTTTTGGCACCTTTTGACAGTGGAAACCACCATAAAAGCGTACCAAAGCAAAGATTTTGAGCTAGACTGAAAGTATACTAAACAGTATTGTAACGGGATCAGTCAGGCTTTTTACTTCTAATAAATATTCTAAAAGCAGTAGTTCAAGCTTAGATATTGGTCTAAATTTTGTTCTTCTTGGCTTTTTAACAACACATCTAAACAACATCCTTTAACAATCTTGTAAACAAACGGTATATATATATATATATATATATATATATATATATATATATATATATATATATATATATATATATATAGAGTACAAAAATAAACTCCTGCAAGTCTTGAAAGAGATCAAGCTTCAGTCAGGTAAGAAAAAGTAACACAAAAAAAAAAAAACCTAACACTACGGTAACTAGTTACATAACTCAATATTGTAATGCATTACTTTCAAAATTAACTAATCCCCAACAAGTAAACTACTTGCAACCCGTACATGACAACAGTAAACTTGCAAGTATAAGAACACACAACCAGAGATGACAAAAGTACACATTTGCTTTACTCAAGCAGAAGTACAGATACTCATGTTTAAAACAACTCTGGTAAAAGTTGAAGTACTCACTACTCGCTACACTTTTGTACTCAAGTAAAAGTAAAGTACGGGCTCAAAAATGTACTTAAGTAAAAAGTATTCATTACTATACCTGTTTTGGTTTTACGGTGATAACTACACTGCTCATCTACATCTATACAAAATAACGTACATTTTAAAAAATGTATTTACTTATTTTTTAAATAGCCAAGCAAACATCATTATTCAGTATTGTTCAACAACACTGCTCAAAAAGTTGCCCTGTCAATCATCAGCTGGACACAAAACTTAACTTTACGGCTGTTAAGAAAAGCTGCCATACTCATTCATATACTCTAGAACATAATTCTGTAGGCCATATTTTTATAACAAATAAATGTATTAAAAATGAACACTTTATTTTGTCATAAAAACATATTTTTATTTTTTTCATTTTTTAATTCTTTTTTGTTTGATAATGATTTGAATACATTTGTTTTTGTTTTTTGCATTATACTAAAGCAGCTTCATTTTCTTTAAACAACAACTCTTGCAGCCCATATGATTTCACTTTGTTTTATCGGATAAAGTCATTATTGCGGTTAATATATATATATACATAATCTTTTTTCATGTGATAAATCGATCGTTTTGCATCATATTTTTATTCATTAATCACCTTGTATTGTTCTAATCTATCTAACAAATTTAAATGAAGATAACATTGTAGCCTATATAACATGTTAAAACTATAAAACCGTATCAATTCTGTACTAGGAAATATGAAGTTGTTGGAAACAAAGAAAAGAAATCTCAATTCATAACGTGTTCAGAATGTATATTGTTGCTTTAGTACTAACTGTACAAATACTGACAAATAAAAAGTACATGATTGTTAAAGTTTTTTTTTTTTTTGGTATTAGACTAAAAGTTTAGAAGAGGACAAAATAATTTAACCCCATTTGAGAGCCAGATTTAAACAGAAATGTTTCTCTTGTTTACCAGTGATCCGAAACGCTTCTTATCACTCAGCATAAACATGCCGAAAAGCTGCGCACTGCAAAAAATGCATTAAAATGAAAGTAACGAGCCTGATTTAAAAATGGAAGGAGTAGAAAGTACAGATATTTGTGTAAAAATGTGAGTAAAAAGTTATCAGAAAAGTAAGTAGTGGAGTAAAGTAAAGATACCAGAAAAAAAAATCTACTTAAATACAGTAATGAAGTATTTGTACTTTGTTACTTCCCATCTCTGCACACAACAAATTACACTTACTAGTATCCTACAAATACTGCTCATACACTAAAGGGTATAAGAAAAAGCACACTTGCATGTATACTTCTAGCACATACTTAAAGCATACCTCACATATGGTTGCATAAATGTACTTTAAATGAACTTGGATTATATTGGTTTATTGTAAAGAACTGCAAAAACAAAACCGCACTGGCTAATTGTTTCTATCTACAGTTTTAACATAGTTGTCTTTAATTTAAGTTCCTCGTCTTGAGCAAATAACAATTTAGCACAATTACTGGTGACGCTCCTATAAATCATCTCACACTTGTTTTTGTTCCGACTAAGTGCACAAGAACTGGTCTCTCAAACTCAAAAACCCTGAGAAAGTGTTTGTTTGGACATCACAGGCTAATAAATAGCACTAGCGAAACCTCAGCGCTTGGCACAACGTGCTCAACTTATTCCAGCGTTTAATTATCCATTACTCAAGGGCCCGTGAGTATGACTGTTGTTTTATTCAGGGTTTTACTGCAACAGAAAGGATGAGGTAGATGGAGTGAAACATTTCATGAAAACAATTCAGGCTCGCTTTCAAATTTCTCCCATAATTGCGTCTCATGGTACGGCCAGGGCGGAAAGGGATTTTCAAGGGGTTAGCGTTAAGACAAGACTTTTGGCTTCAGCTCTGTTTTAACACTTTGAGGTCATCAGGCAAGCACATGTTCTCGATGTTGACCGTGACTGTAAGAGCACAAACTCGGACAGAAAAGCCAGACAGAGAGGCCGGTTAAACTTCAGAGGTTTGCAGCGTTAAGTTTATTTGCGGTAGTCAAGAAATCAGTGCGGGGGTGATTAGCACGTATTTTGAGAGGATTTTAATGATGAAAGTGCGCAGTTCGTATACAGAACAGTTTCGCCTTGTTAGCTCGCCAAGCTGTTGTCATGGACTCATAAGGGTTTTTCATGTGGAGACTGCTCTCAGGCCAAGAACAACGCTGCTGTTTTCTTACATGAAGAGGAAAATCCTGTGACAGAAAATCATTTGTAAAAAGGGACCGCTGAGAAGGAAGCAACATGCTCGTACATCACTTTTAAAGGCCATTACAACCCAAATACAATTTACAGATAGTAGCAGCAAGAGCATTACTTCCTGTCCTCCCTATCAGTGTTAAACCAGACACTGATGCAGATTAGGGTTTACACTACAGGCCTTGAAACTAACTTGAAACCTGACCCACAGAGGAATTACCAACCTATGTAAAACATGACGTCACACGGGTGCCCGGTAGAAAAAAAAAAATACCGGTTGCAATAGCAAACATGTCATGTTGTGCAAATTCGAAGTCCAAAAATAGAATAGTCTTAAGTTTTATCGTACACCCCACTGCTTTTAATGCCAACAGCAGAAGTCTTTGGCTAAAAGGGAGCTGAATTGAGTGAGGACCTGATTAAAATGCTGGACTCTACAGTTCTCATGTTATATCAGGTAAGTTCACGCTATGCTGAATCATACACGTTACTCATTTTTGATTGCAGCAATGATTTCAGCAAAAAGAGTTAAAAATGGTTTATTAAACTGCAGACACTGAATGCTTAGAATTAAATGTAAAAGTGCAAGTTCCCATACCCTGCAGTACAGATGCAGTTCACTGTCAGAATGTAGTTTTTTTGCTCGTTGATGATTACCCAGGCCTTGTACAGTTCTGTTTTCTTTCTTTGTCTTTGGCTAGGCAGAACCTCGGTTTTTAGCACTACAAAGTTTTGAGTCTGGTATTCATGGAGCATTATGCTCATGATCACACAGAACAATATTGCAGACACTGAAAAACTTTAAGTCCATTAACTTCTCTTGTAAAATCAGTTGGAGCTTCAATGAGATTGTATATTTTGTGCTGGATGCTTGACCATTTCGTCTTATCCAATATCCTTAGGGAGAGTGCTATTGCAAATGGACCTGTCAGACGAATGCTGCCCACTTTAGTGTTAATTTTGCCGAATAACTGTGCTTATGACTGGGTGACAAGCTGTTATAATATACTGAAAGTATAATGTATTAATATATATAATATGTAATCAATATAACTTATTTCTTAGACAACAACA